TTCTTCCTGACCTGTGACTTTGTGTTCATTGAATAGCATTGTGTTTCTTCACTCATGGAAATTTCACTCTTCTTGACGTAGTCCTCCAAGTCCAGCGTCCACCAATCCAGTGTGTGTTCAACATGGGCATCAGCCACATCAGTGGGATTAGTGTATTTACACGTCTTGTGCATCAGTAGGATCTGTGGTCTGAAGGGCTCAAAGCCCTTTTATTCCCTGTGGCTCTTCATCTGAGGAAGCAGCTCAGTGAATCTTTCCAGCAAATTTCCATGACTTCATCTTCCAACAGCATCAGTATAAACAATGGCTCCAAACTCAGCTTCATTTTCTGCCTAAATTTCAGTTCACTCACATAGTTGAAGCACAAAAACAACAACAGCAACAGAAAAACTCACAATTTTGGTGACTTCTTCACGCAATCAGTGTTATTTGCCACTTGCAAAGTATATACTTTCAAACAATGCCCCTCTGCCTCATCTCTCCCTTTCATTTCAGGAGCCCCCTCTCCCAGTAGGGAGCTCAGTTTTTGCACATTTATAGGGTTAATTTTTTTAAATGACTGCTTCTTGGCTGTGTAAGTTCCAGTTTTTCTTTTTGTTTGTTTGTTTGTTTGTTTTTTGTCTTTTTCCTTTTTATCGGTACCAGGGATCGAACTCACGATTGCCTGCTTGCAAGGCAGGCGCTTATGCCGCTGAGCTAAATCCCCAGCCCCTGAGTTCCAGTTTTGTACGAAGTCTCCCATGGACTACTTTTCAGGGACAGAGGTCCATGAATTCCCTTCTGGTCTCATGGGTAGGGAGAGAGAGGCACCCTGATGAATATGTCTTGCTTTAAGTTTCTGTACTTTTGACTTACTTTTTGGTTTGTTCGTTCGTTTAAATTCGTGTTTATTAGGTTATACAATACTGTTAGTGACTAGGTACTTGTGCTACTTTTGGTTATTGTTAGTACTTTCTATGTAATTCATTCATGGAGCAGACAACAGTCAACATTTGGCTGTTCTGAATGGGGTAGGTGCAAAGGAGGAGTGAGAGCCCAAGACGGAATTACCATCAGCCTCCAGACCTGCCCCAACCCGGGCTCCCTCTCAGGAGACAACCACACTGTACTCACAGTGCGAGGCAGAGCCCCAGGAGTCACGCTGCACCCCTTTCCCTTCCCACAGCACGTCACTTCCTGTCTTGGTGGCCACACTGCCTATCTCCATTACAGCTCATTTCACACCAATCTGCCACTAAGCCACTCCCTGTCCACCTGCCCCCCTGAGAATGTTCACTGCCTTTGATCTCTGAATACCTGGTGCCATGGTAGGCCCTCCACAGGCATTCGCTGGATGCCTGAAGTTCTGGAATTTTTACATCAGGATTTCTTGAGTGAGTTCCTCATCCTGCTCTGTTGACTGCTCCATCTTAGGCCATTGCTCTTTCCCACCAGAAGGTTTACAAGGAACTCCTAATGGTTGTTCCTACTCTTCACTTTGCTCCATTCCTACTTGCTTTCCACATTGCTTCAAGAGTGTTCTCTCTAAAGAACAAGTCAGTTACCTTTTTGCTGATTCAACTTGTTCATGTTTCTAATTGCCCCACAGATAAATATAAGGCCTTGTTTCTTGCTTCTGTTCCTCTCAAACTCCACATCTTGCCATGTACGATAGTAATATATGTGGCATTGGTGCAGGTGGAGGCCCCAGTGCCTTTGCATATGTGCCTTTTACCTAGGGCACTGCTCCCTGTTCTATGCCTACCAATTTCTTGACCTAGCTCAAATATCCTTGCTCTGAAAAGCCTTCTGGGACCCTATGGCTCTCACTTCCAGTGAATTCCAACTATTGGAGTATCTGTTGATTGACATAATAATTAATTCACATATTTATGCCCTAATCTCTCCCTTCCCAGCTGCCCTATGGGCACAATCCTGGGCTTATATTCCTGGCTCTGTGTGAGCTTCAGAAAGCACTAGAAGAAAGACGGGGGAGGTCACAGACAGAATGCCAGCTCTGGTGTACAATGAAAACTATCTCCAGGCCACAAGGTCTGGGAGAAGGGCCTGAGAGACTCGGCTGACATCTGCTGAGGACATCTGACCTGTGTCGCACAGGACTGCTCTCCAACCTCCTCCTCATTTCTTTTCTCTTATCCCCTAAACGCCCATTTCTTCTTCCATGCTTTTCCTCTTCCTGTCCTTTTCATCTTCTCATTTACCAACTTTCCTTCTTTCCGTGGCTGGACTTTAACACTGATAACATGTTATACAAACGACATTGTAGCATTAGCAATGGAAGGAAGCTGTAATAAGGGAACCCATATTCTGCTACCACGGCAGCTCAGTTAGCTTTCATTTGTCTGTATTCCTTTCTTCTCTGTGGATGCCCAGATTATCATTTTATGTAGTTGTAATCATAATGTAGTTTTAATTTTATAGCCTACTTTTAAACTTAATATTAGAAGCATTTTCCATGCTCCCACACAGTCTTCATAATTATCATTTTAATGGCTGCATAATACTCTGCTGAATGCATATACCAATTGTGCTAACTGTTTTCGTTCTGTGAGACAGCTCTAGTTTTCTCCTGTGGAAGAAAATGCGGTGATAAGAATGTTCTTTTATTTCTTTTGCTTTCTTGTTCCTTCTGTTCACTTTCTTTTACTTTCTCTTCCTTTCACTTTTATTCATGTCTTTTAAAAATCTCCTTGTACCTCAATGGCTGAAGCTCTTTCCTAGAGTAGTCATTTGCCTCTATGTGGATAAAGAAAATATCTTATGGGGAAAAGCAAAAGATGCTCAGATGTATGAGGCATACAGAACTCCAGCCACTTATAATCAAAACAGAACTATACCCAGGCATATAATAATCAAGATTCCAGAAATCCAATATAAGAACAGAATATTAAAAGCTGTCAGAGACAAGAAACAGATCACTTACAAGGGAACACCCATCAGAATTACAGCAGACTTCTCAGCACAAATCGTCAAATCTAGAAGATCATGGGGTGAAATAATCCAAGCCTTGAAAGACAATAACCTCCAGCCAAGATTGATATATACTGCACAGTTGTCTCTAGAAATTAACAGAGAAACAAGGTGCTTCCAAGATAAAGAGGAACTGGGGGACTTTGCAACCACTAATCCAACTCTACAGAGAATACTGCAGGACATTCTAAAGAGAGAAAAGTACCAGGATTCCACAAACAGTGGCAGAGAGGCCACGATGAATGGAGCAGAAAGTGAAATGAAGAAGACAAACAGACAACTAATGGCAGAAAAAGAGCTCAACAGAAATGAGGCAGAGAAGGTTGGATATAATTTCTAATATAGATGGCCTAGATACACTAACTTAAGGGAAAAGAGAGAGAATCGCAGGCAGAGTGGATCAAGAAGTAGGGTCCACTGAGAGGCTCTTTATAGGAAATATAATTAGCCTGAAGAAAATTATATGGACCAAAATCAAATATGAGAAAACGGAACTCGAAGTGATAGGGAGCCAGAGAGTAATAGGGGTAACTGGACCAGTATTTATGGATAGATTGAACAGACAGGCTTTAATATATGAAGAAATATAACTAGAAATCCAGTCCAGGAGGGAGAAAGTTCAGAAACACTTAGGTAAATAGCAGGTTGCCCACCCCCAATATAAAACCGTGAGTGTTGGGGAGACCCAAAAATACACAGTTCATTCTGGGGGAGTAAAGGGGAGGAATAGTCTTCAAAAAAAAAAGCAGAAGATATAGCTAATAGTATATCAGGAATTAAAACCCTTATTACTCGCACTACTCGGCTTGGATGGAACTTGTTCTGTCCTACTTTGTATATAAGCACTGGCTCTGAGGGCACAGACAGCTGTCCCAAAGATATCAGGACATAGCACAGTGGTCATCTTTAATTTCCTATTAACTCAATCAGGATCCCTGTATGACTTATACTGCTGTATCATGACTGATCTTAGTTAAATCTGACTTGTTTAATTGCTGCTTATTATTGACAGATTTTGTTCAAAACTGTTAGGTTGCTGGTATCAAGTTGAGGAGTATAGACAACTATACTGAAAATGACAACGATTCACCACGATATCCATTCTGATTTGATTACTTCCTGTTTTTGTAGCTCTACACTATCTACAAAGTTGTATTTCTGTTAATCCTGTTATGTACTGATAAGTTCAGTTATACTTTATCTGATGATATAGCCAATTCTGTTGATGATAACAAGAAACAGCACAGTGACCATGGTAGAACTCCTTATACAGCAGTTTTATATGTCTTTTTAGTTTTATGTGTCTGTAGGAATATGTTTAGTTCTGTCCTGCTTTGTTCTATTTTTCCCTCTAATGTAGAAAGGATAGAAATACATGTTAAGACTCATGCTTGCGTAAAACCTATAAACAGTTTGTGAGAACTGATCTTATGACACATGATGAAATGAACAAATACTTTGAAGGAAAGAAAGGGACACTGTAGTACCCAGTGCTGATTCCGGAGTGTTATGATGTGAAATCCAGCAATACTATTAATCTTTGTTCAGAAGGATTTTATTCTAGTAAGTAATTGTTAGGTCTCAGCATAAATGAAGATATGGATAAATGCGTACAGTGTATAGGATTGATAGCTATATTACTTAGTTTTTGTTGGATAGTTGAACAGAACTGTTTGCAGTCTCCCTGGTTGAATTCCCATTTATATGTTCCACTTTTGTATCTTGAACAACTATTTGTGGGGGGGCAATATGTATACATCAACTAGTGATTTATTACTGTTTATTTCTTTTCTTTGAAAGTACCTACTATTTCTGCCCATTTTCTATTTTGTTTTGTCTTTCTTTAAATAAAAAAAAAGGAGTAAATAGGCTGGAGAAGCCTCAGATTTGTGACAGGGTCACATTGTAATGACAAAATGAGAAACATATACATCTTTATCAACAGGGAGACGGCCTGATGGACAGTGTCCGTGATAGGAACAGGATGTAGCATTTGGAGAGACCACAGAACTCTAGGTTTTACACAGATGGGGCTTTGTATAGTGAATTTAATTGAAGAATATTTGTAGTTTACAAATAATGTAAAAAAATAACAAAATCCAACCCATACAGTAATAATAGTGCTGTATCGAATACATATAATGTATGCAAACCTATACTATGCAAAGTCATATGAGATACCCCAAAAGATATACATCAGACTGATGACAGTGGTCACTATTTTGCTCAGGAAAAGGAGTCTGACTTTTAGGGGCTCATCACAGGGAATCTGAGCCTGAACTGCTGTGGTTTCAGTCTTTTTGTTTTGTTTTGTTTTGTTTTTTGGTACCGGGGATCGACCTCACAACCTCGCGCTTGTTAGGTGAGCGCTTACGCTGCTGAGCTAAATTCCCAGCAGCTTTTTGCTTTTTAATCAAGGTATGTTCACATGTTTCTTCTGTAATAAAAGATTCCTTTAAAGTTGCCTCCCATGCTGTGTGTTTCTCTTCGCCACCGCACACTGACAGCCCCGTTTGAGGGGCTGGTTATGAATAAGAGAAATATAGTGAGAAAACGTTGTTCAATAGGCAAAGGTTCTTTTGGAAAATTTGCCTTTTTTTGTGTGTGTGTGTGTGTGTGTGTGCTGAGACGCAGGTTGTTTGGGACAGTGCTGGAGGGCCTGCGACAGGGGAGAAAGAAGAAGAAGCCTCCAGTCAGACCTTGCATGGAACCCATCTTTACCACGCCCTCTCAGGGCAGGTGGAAGTGGAGGCTCCAGCCCTGAGTCCTGGATGGAGGACGACAGATGGGGCCTCCTGGCCCTGCTGTTCAGACCGAGGGGAACAGGTGGGGGCTCTGGGGTCAGAGTGTGAATACTGGGATTCATGAGTGCTGTAGGCAGCGGTGCCCGGATCAGGACGGTGACAGCTGGGCAGCATTTGGGCGAGGGAGGGAGCAGGGGAAAGGGGCGGGGCAAAGGGCCCAGCCTTAGAGGTGGAGATGTTGGAGGGGCTGAGGCCTGGGGTGGGGGTGGGGGGCTGCAGCATGGGGAAGATGGAGCCAGAGTCCCAGGCTGCCCCTGGAAGCTCAGGAAGCTGTAGGTTGAGCGGACACAGAGAGAAGGATGCTTCTCTTCTGCCCTCCACCTGCTGTCCAGCTCCAGCTGTCCCCTACCTAGCCCTAAACCCAAGGCATTTGGGCCACTGCAGCAGCTGTGTCAGTCAGGCCTTTGGCTGGGTCAGGCCTGGGCAGGGCAGGGAAGCAGCTGCCACCCCTCCTCTAGCAGATGGGGGTGGAGCACAAGGAGGTGACCAGGTTGGAGAAATCTCAAGCACATGGCAGGGACACGCCCTACTTTCCTGTCCAAAACTCTTGCCTGATTCCTGTTTCTCTTTTGTTAGGTTGGGTGGGGGTGGGGGGTCCGGACAGTTCTAAAGAACTATGCAATCAGCGATGAGTCTCATCAACATCTAGCAACCCTCAATACTATTGATTTAATATCACCGAATCCTCCCAACAGACTATTTGGAGAATGTTACTTGCAGTTTACTCATAAGAAAACAGAGGCTTCTTGGTTGAAAACGTACACACCACACCCTGGAAAGGTACCGAAGCGAGACCCGATGCAGACGTGCTTGACTCTGGAGACCGACCGCGCTCATCCGAAGCAGGGTCTGGGTCTGAGCGGGCTCCCGAGGTAACAGGTGGGTGGGTCGGTGCCAGCCTCTTACTGTCACAGCAGTTATCGCAGGCAGGGGAAGCTTTTCCTCCAGAGATTTCGGCAGGTGGGAGAGCTCCCAACCCGACGGGCAGATTTAGGAGATTTTGCCTGGAAACAAGAGTGTTGTGGGTAATGCTGTGGAAACAAGCACTTGGGACTGAGACAGTCCAGAGACCAGAGACACCCTGGTGTCAGGCGGGCTGGGCATGCCCGGCTGCAGGCCAGTTCTGCCGGTGAGTCCAGGAGCGACTCCGGAGGCCGGGGAGCCAGGCGCAAGCTGCTTTTTGATGGGCGCTATCCCACCTGGTGAAGCGCCCTCGCTCAAGCCGGGCACAGTGCCACTGCAGGTGCAAACCCGGGGCTCATTCCTGGCTCCTCCTCTTCCTCCGAGCAGTGCTCTGAACGAACCCAGCTGCAGCGAGCCGAGTCAGCCTACTGGCTCCGAGCCGCATCCGGCCAGCAGGGGGACCCCGAGTTCCAGTCAGCGCGTCTGGCTTTGGCTCCCCAAATCCACGATTCTGTCTCCCTGGGCCTCGGTGGCCTCCTCTGTGGAATGGGAAAATTCTGCCCTCGCTTCATCGGCACAGTGCAGGGACTATTTTTCTTAAAGGTTTCTCTTTAAATAAAAATTAAATTATTACAGTAAAAGACACGTTGCCACTAACCTCTCTCAAAATACCCCCCCACACACACACTTCGAAACAGTTCTGGAAGTCCACTTCCGTGAGTGTCTGTAAGAGATGGGATTTTAAAAAATACAGTGAATGCAGCAGCCAAGGGTCATCCATGGAAAGACAGCTCTAAAAACATAAGGTCCTCATCCACCTTATTCCCCAGACCTGCCACTGCGTGACTTCCGGCTCTTCCCCAGAGTCAGCATGGCCATGAACGCTAAACATGGATTCAGGACATCGATGCAGTCCAACAGTGCAATTACAAAAGGCTTCCAGAACTGCTTCTGCAAGTGGCCAAAAGAGTGGGGAAAGTGTGCTCAAAGTGAGCCCAGTATTAGGGTGGTTAATGTTTACGTGTCTTTGCAAAAAATGTAAGCATTCATCTTTTTTTGCAGTCACCCTTGTGAAGAGCTGTGGGACTGCCTTCTTGTGCTCTTGTCTATCTGGACATGCGATAGTTAGTAGGCATCTGTGTAGCAAACTAAAGGGTTCTCTGTGTCATTGTTCCCTAGCCATTTGAATGACTGGCTTTCTGGCAAGCAACTATTTGTTCTCCTGGCCTGCAGTTAAGGACACACTGAGGGCACAGAGCTGGCAGGCTGTGGGTCACCTCTTTGTCCTGACACAGGAAGTAACCTTGGTGTGAATTCCTTTCTCACTCAGTGCTCTCTGGTGATGGGACTGGCTTCAGGGTACAGGGCAGATCTGAAGGAACTTGTTGAAGATCAGGGAATAAGGGCTAGAAGGGGTGAGCCTGGGAGCATGTGTCTTGGTTACTTTTCTCTCATTGCTGAGCAAAACACCTGATGCCCAAAATTAAGAAAAGAAAGGTTCATTTAGCTTACAGTTTTTTGGAGGTTTCAGTCCATACGCAGCTGGCTCCAAGGCAGGGTGGCATGGCTGAGGGGCAACAGTTCATGGCAGCTACAAGCAACAGGAGCAAAAGGGCAAAAGAGAGAAAGCACACTGCCTTCCCACCCTTACACTGTATATAGGCTCCGCCCCTGGTACAGCATTCACATCATCATTCCCAGTGCTAGACAAGGAACCAATCACAAATGCTAAATTCAGTTACCTCCATGACTGCATGAGGCTTGGGGATCCACCTAAACATAAACCATAACAACATGCTACAGCTGCTATGCGGAGGTTAGGATGCTGTGAGATGGGTGAATGTGTGGTGTTCCCACCCCTGGCCTCTGTCCCTGCCAGGTGACCTGCACTCAGAGGAATCATTGAGAAAACTGCTGTGGGCTCAGTAGGCTCCCAGAACCCAGGGCACTGGCTGAAGAGACGGCTCAGTTGGCTCCAGTTCACTTTCTACCTAGCTGGGTAAAAACTCATTTCTTCCAAGAAGCCCCTGGCATCTGTCTCAGCCGTCACACCTGGGACACGATCTACAAAGCACCTCGCTGGGGCCTGGGATGCTTGAGGTGACTGTTCCCACTGATGGTACCAGGTCTCAGTCCCTTATGCTTTGGCCCCACAGGGGAACTGCAGGCACTTCAAGGCTGGCATGTGATACAATGGGAGAATCCTGGACCAGGAATTGGGAGACCTGGTTCTTAGCCCTTAATGGTCTCAAGCCTCCTTCTGAGTCTCTTGTGTTTTAATCTGCTGAAGGGGAACATAGTAGCTTCCATGTAGGCCATGTGATGGTATAGGAAATAAATAAGAAGAAAGCCTAAGCCTTTGTTATTCTTTTTATTCTAGCTATATCCACCCCCATCAAATATATGTGACTGCTCAAAGCAGCATTATTCATAATAGCTGGAAAGTAGCAATGGCCCAGATGTCCAGCCACTGAAGAATGGAAAAACAAAATGTGATATGTCCATAGTGTGGAACATTATTCAACCATAAAAGGAATGAAATACTGATGTGTACTGTTATGGCTTGTGTCCGGTGTTCCTCCCCCATCCAAAGACACATGTTGTCATAGGTGGGGCTTTTGCAGAAGTGGCTGGATTGAAAGTGTGTAATTGATTCATAGTATAATGCTGGGATTAAGGGTGCTGAGATTAAGGGTCGGTGATTACTAAATCTGTCCACTAATTGACTTGGCACTGCCCTAATCCCGGTAGCCTGGGCACAGTACAAGGGACAGAAAGGAGCTTGTCTTGCCCCTTGTTGCTTTGCTACCTTCTGCCCTCTATGAACTGTTTCTCCTCTGTAAAGCCACCTGCCTTAGAGCCAGCCAATTATGGACTAAAACCTTTACAAATGGTGAGCTAAATAAACCTTTAATCCCTTCACTTGTGCGTGTTGGTATTTTGTCTCAGCAATGAGAAAAGTAACTGAGACTTGTGCTAAACTCTGATGAAGCGTGGGGACATTATGCTGGCCAGAGGCAGCAGCCACAAAGGACCGTATGATGTACGATTCTACTGGTACAGAGTGTCCTGAACAGGCAGATCCTTGGAGACAGAAAGTGGATTAGTGGTTGCCTGTACTTGGGTGACTGCTGCTGGGTACAAGGTATTTTGGGAGAGGGAGTGATAAAAATGTTCTAAAATGAAATTACAGTGAAGATTGCACTATTCTTTAAATATAGTATTCAGAACCATTGAATTGTACACTTTAAATGGGTGAACTTTATGATATGTAAATTATATCTCAATAAAACTGTTACTTTTTTTAATGGGTGGGTGTCCTGAATTTAATCTGGTGACAATAATTGGTGAACAATTTGGTCATTTCTGCTTTTAAGCTACTATGAATAATGCTGCTGTGAACTTCTGTCCTGTCTTCCTTCCTTCTTTCCCCCAGTCTGTCTGTCTGTCTGTCTGTCTGTCTCTTTCTTTTGCAGTACTGAGAAACTGAATTGAACCCAGGGCCTTCATCTGAAGCCTTTTTATTTCTCCTTCTTCTTCTTCTTCTTTTTTTTTTTTTTTTTTTTTTTTTTTTTGAGACAAGGTTTTTCTAAGTCACTAACTTGCCTGAGCTGGGCTCAAACTTTGAACTCTCCTGTCTCAGCTTCTCAGAAGGCCAGGATTACAGGTGTGTACAGCCATGCTCCGTTTTGCTCCCAGGCTCAAGAGCCTCTCTCTCCCTTGGAACATACAGAAGGTGGGTAAGGGCACTGCTCGGAAGGTGGGAAGGAGTCTGCATGCCAGGCTGCCTAACTCTAACAGAACTCACAGAATACCCGCTGTCTCAGTTTTACCTTCTGCCCAGTGTGGGGAGGAAAAGAACAGGGTTATTTCCTGTGCTGCCCTGGGAGGTGGTGTGGAGCAGTCTGGGAAGCTCTGTGTGTGTGTGTGAGTGTGTGTGTGTGTGTGTGTGTGTGTGTGTGTGTGTGTGTGTGTTCTGGCCAGGAGGTGTGGGCTGTGTGCACCAATGGGAGCTCTGATGTGCCCATCACAGGTTAGAACCAGCTGGGGTCTTCAGGCAGTAGTGTGTGGCAGGTGGATTGCCCAGAGGCACCTCCTTGGCTACAGACAGTGCCAAGGAAGCCAAGAAATCCATGGCTGGCGCCTTGTGGGCTGGGTCAGTGTGGAGGCTAGGCAGTGCCTGCCAGTCGACGATGAGCTGGTGCGGGAGAAGACGGTCTTTAATTGTGTGTGATGTAGCTGGCAAACAGTTGGCTGCACTGAGATGGGTTTTGAGCACAGCCTCAGGTCCCAGCACTGGAGGGGACCAAGGGATGGAGGAGAGCCAGAGACTTCCAGGTCTGTGTCCAGCCAGCTGTCAGGAACTGCGTAGGTGCTTGGTGAAGGGGGGTCCGTTCTCAACTTTTCTTTCCTCTGATTCATCTCTTTTTACCACTCCTTTCCTACCTGTGCTGTGAGCATGCTCAGATCTCCCCTGTCTAAAACCATCCTCTCCTGCAGCTAATCATCCATCTCATGTTCTCTTCCCTGCCAGCTCCTTCAAAGACTAGTCTGTACCCACGACTTCCATCTTTACCACCTGCAGCATCGTTAACCCTTGAGTGGCACTCATACACCCAGCCAGCGCTTGAAAGATCTTTGAGGTCACCACTCCCTTCCCTGCCACCAAATCTAATCAGCCCTGCTGCTCTGCTCCCAGGGACCACCTCTGTCCTGGGGCCTCCACTGCCACCTACACTGAGAGGACCCAGCTCAAGCACCCAGTGCCCCTGGCCTTTTCCAGAAGTCTGCTGAACCCCTTCCAGAGACACAGGCCACCCACGCAGTCCTGGAGTCATCAAATCCTGTCCTCTCTCCCCCTGCCAGCCTCTGCTTCACTGGCTAACAGATTTCTCCAGGACCCATCTCTGCCTCACCCTCCTGCACTGGCTGCTGCATTTGGTGGCCAGTGTACCCAGAAACCCTCACCCGCCACGTCACTCTTGTTCATTCTTTCCTCTCCTTCCTTTGCCTCTCCTAGTTAGCTTTTGACCATCTGTGACAGAGTGCTGCAGCTGCTGGCAAGCCTCCTCTGCCCGTGGTCACAGGATGATCTTTCTAAATTAGCACCTTCCAGATCCTTCAGGCTTCTGCTCCAAAGCTTTGGAGGCTTCCAAATACCATTAGATGGCTTCACGATGTTTGTCTAGTGATTTACCCCTCAAAAGTCACTTTTCAGTGAGTAAAACAGGAAATTCGTCCTTTGGGGATAGGTGAACTGGAGCTCAGGAGATGCGGTGAGCTGTTGTCTTTCAGGTTCACGCAGCATGAAGGGTGGAGCTGGGGCCGGGGCTGGGCCTTCTGGCTTCAGCTGAATTCACCTCCTGATGCGGTCTCCTTCCCTTCATGGGGGCCTCCTCCAGCGACGTGGCCCCTCAGTGTGCTCAGCTGAGCCCCTGGTCCCGCACAGAACATGCCAAGTGGTTTCTACCTCCCTCATTCAGGATACTTGGTACTTCTGTTTGCCCACAGCATCCTCCCCATGCCACCTGCCCTTGTCCACAAAATATAGCGTCCACCCCTTGCCTGGACCCAGTTCACATGACATGTTGGTCTCTTCCAGCCCCGGTCAGAGCACCTGGAGTGCAGCACCTTGAGCTCCAGCTGATCCAGGGCAGGCTGTATGCCCAGCCCTGTGTTGTACCTCTTGGGGGCTCGCTGAAAAGTGCCATCTTTTAATGAAAAAATAAATAAAATTTCATTATCAAGAGAATAACAATAGTTATTATACTTTCCATTGTTATCTTCAAAGTAGTTACTCAGAGTATAATACATAAACCAAAAAATTCTTAGAAAAAGATAACACAAAATTTCATTTTTAACAAATTAAGATAAACCAGTAGTAAAAATGGAACCTATTAGTAAATATAATGAAATATTTGTAACACAACGGAATTTGTAGTTTGAGGAAGTATTTGAACTTCTTATTTCCTATTTATCTCTCTTCTATTCTTTGCTTTATGTTCTCATATAAGAGAAATATGGGATATTTGAGTTTGTAAGTCTGACTTATTTCATTTCACATTGTGTTCAAAAGTTGCATCCATTTACCTACGAATGCTTCAAGTTTATTTTCTTTAAGGTAGTATAGTATTCCATTGGGTGGAAATACCACATTTTCCATGTTCACAGTAAGGCCTCCTTTGGTACCAGGTGTAAAGCACCTGAGACCCTCTCCTCGCGGAATCATTTGCAGACTAACTGGCTCCATAGTTCCAGGATCACATCTGGAGTAGGCTTCTGGTGACCGAGGTTCCAGTCTCAGCCCTGTCACCTGGCCCTTTTTAAGGTGTCCCAGCTCAGGCTCCTCCTCTACTATTAGGGGATAGTCACACGGGCTTTCCTTGAAATGCTGCTTCAGAAGTTTCTTCATAAATGCCAAACTGCCTGGCACCTGGGAAGGGCCTTTTTGTGCCCACCTGACTCTGGCTCCCCATTGTCCCAGGAGAAGTCTGCAGCCAGTCTCTCTCCCTGTGAGACACAGATGGCATGAAAGCCACACACTTTTACCGAACCCAGTTCTGAGTGCGAAAGCCTAGCCTGAGGGTTCCCTGAGATACTGTCAGGCCAGGGTCAGCTCACTCCGCTCATCCCGTCACCGCCCTAGTCCCTCCTCTCACCCAGGCTCATGATGGGCAGGTGGGAAGTGGGCCAATCTTATTTCCTTCTTGGATCTCAGTTCTTTTAGCTGGAGGAGTTTGGCTGAAGCTCAGAGTGTCAAGCTTTTGTTAAAGCTACATAGCAGATACAATCCATGCTCCCACAAAGTCTTACACCAGGAGCCCACTTGTGAAACAAATCAAAGCAGAGTGCTCTGCCCGAGGCACAGCGGCTTCCTGAGTGGTCACACCTTGACCCACCTCTGTGGGGCCCTGCAGCATCCTGGGGTCCTCTGTACCCCCTCTCAGGTGACAGGGCTGCTGTTCATCTGCTGAGGGTTTGACTGGAGGAAGCACACCCTGGCCGATGTGTGAAAGTCTAGTTAAAAGTCACTGGTATGTCCTGATCCTCACAGGACAGGCTGCAGTTTGGGGCCATTTATTCCCTGGCTCCCCTCCCTGACAGTGACCTCTTTCTGGAGACTCCTGAGATCTCTAGGACTCAGCCCACTCTGATACTCGAAAGGGGCTCAAGAACGTCTGCTGAGTAGAATGACTGATGACAATGGTGATGATGCTGAGGTTAAGGACAAATGAAAGCCACAAACTTCTTCAGGGACTAGGTACAGTTCGTGCAGTTGCGGGGATCAGGACTAAATGACCTGCTTGTCCTGTGCCTCCTCTGCCTAGCATGAACACACACACCCACAGGCTCAGTGTGTCCTCTCCCCGACCTAAGAGAAGGCAGCTGGAAGAGCAGAGTGGAAGTGGGGAGGCCCGAGACCTGGATTACAAGTCTGAGGGAGGCGCCCAGTGGGAGAAGGGTGGGGGGACCCGAGGGAGGTCACTGGGCAGGTGGGGCTGAGGGAGGACCCCAGGGGGAGGGGCACCCCAGACACCCCGAAATCGTTTTGTTTCAACTGCACCATATTCTGATCCTAAAGTTCTTTTCCTGTGCACACACTGCACAAGCAACAGTGCAAAGATCAGGACTGGAGGGACAGCTTCAAGACGGTATTGGGTACAAAACTCAGGATGTCTTGACCACTAGGCAAGCTTTTCCACTCAATGGTGTCCCACACCTCAGAAGAGTTTTGTTTTAGCACTGGGGATCAAACCAGGTTCTTCATACTGAGTTACATTCTTGTTAAATTGCCTAAACTGGGCTGGAACTTGCAGTCCTCCTACCTCAGCCTCCTGTCGTGCTGGGATTACAGGTGTGCCTTGCCTGGGCCACCAGAGGAAAATCTGAAAACCTTTGTCAGCCCCTGACCTCCCTTGGGAGCTGAGCCAAGTCCCACCTACTACCTGCCTTGTGAGTGCTTGTGCATGTGTGTGTGTGTTGGAGTACAGGAGTGACTTTAGCTTCCCTGGACCATCCTTCCTGACCTGTGGAGTCTGGTGCAATTCAGACAGCTTTGAAAGCAGGACAGTGTAGGGCTACTCGGCAGCCCCCGCCCGCACTGTGCTTCTGCTCCTCCTCACTCACCCCTGGCCATAGTGGGGAAATCCAGGGGTGACAGGCCAGCAGAGGAGCAACACAGGAGCACCTGAAGGAAAGAAACAGGACCAAAATGGTAAAGGGAGGGAGCAGGCCCTGGGGGCCTGTGGCGTCACTTTGCTCCCACAGTCACATGTATAGTATAAACTCCTCCCTGGGCACCTTTAAGGGCACCTAAATCTGGCATCTGTGGGATTTGGTCCCAACTTTAGCACTACTGGCTATATATACAGCAGGTTTCATAATTTTGAATTTTGTGCTTTTTCTCTCTTGCCCCACTCTTGGGGCTTGGTGCTGTCTGCTAGCTTTGCTGATAAAATTTGTGCTGGAAATGCGTAGGCTGCTCATGAAGCTCTCATTAGTATCCTATGAGGCAGTGTTTTTACACCCATTGTACGGATGAGGACACTAATGCTCAGCTGCTGCAGCCAGGCAAGACATGGAGGCCATCTGGCTGCAGGGTGTCAGCACACTCTGGAGGGTAGCAGGTCACCCAATCAGCTGGTCTTGGACAAGTAAGACCACAGCAGTGGCTCATGTCAGGGCCAGCCTTTTTGTTCCACCTGTTTGTCCTCTGCCCTCCTGCATTGTCCTGTCCCATGCCAGTGGTAGACTCTGGACTCCCTCTCCTTCTCCTTCCAGCTTAAATCTCCCCTGAAACCAAATGTCTACTCTGGGGGGGTGGTTCAGGGCTTGTAAGTTTTGGGGAGAGGACAGACTCAGCTCCTTGGTCTCTCTCTCAGCCAGCTTTCCCACCTTGAAGTGAATTTAAGGCAGACATAACTTGATTGATGGGTAAACTGAGGAAAATGGGCTGACCCGAGGCCACAGAGCTAGTGGATAGCACAACAGGACTTAGAAACAAGTTTCTGGCCTTTCTGATTCACAGTGAAAGACTTTTCCCAGCACATCAAAAGGCTCTGCCAGACCCTCCTGGGAGACATTGCTTCCCTGAACCCTGTCAGCTCTGACCTCCAACAGGCTGATCTAACCCCCCAGAAGGCCTGGCCTGGGAACAGTCAGGCTGGGATCAGGGAGGGAAAGGGAGTTTGGGCTTATTTTGCCCAGAACCAAGGAACAAACAAATTACCTACAGGCATTATGCAAATACACCTACTACACATCAACAACCAGTTCGAAGAATTATGGGTGGGTGAGTATGGAGGGAAGGCAGGTGTAGGAGCTCAGGTACCCTCTGTAGCTAAGGATGTTACTGAGGGGTTTGAAAGGGAGACCCTAATTGCCCAACCCTTGTCACAAGTTGCAGGGCCTGCCTGGGGCCTTTGTGGGCTTGTCTGAAAGCTGGGTGAATGACAGGAAGCTGAAAATTAAGAGAGAAAGGTTTGAGCCACAAAGGACTTGAGCCAAGGACAGGATGGGAGGCAGTGGACTGGACAATGCAAAGGCCTGCGTTTGCATGGAGTGAAGACACGGGGAGCTTACCCTCTCGGGCTGTCTACCAGCTCTGGGCAAGGACTGCAGGTTTGTCTTGGAGGCGCAGATTCCTTGCTCCCCCTGAAGGCAGAAATGCAAGTTATCTTTCCCTACACCGGGCTTCCTCCTCTTTCTCCCTGAAGATGTGATGGCATCTACTCCCTTCTCCTAAGCAGTTCTGGTTCCAGCCACCCAGTTCCTCTGTGATTCTGCTCCAACTCCCAGCAGAAGTAGCTTGCTCACTCTCCTGTGGACAGAATCCCTTCTTAGCATCCTGAGATTCAACAAAGGGGGCCCTGGGGTCCTTTCCTAATATTCAAACACAAGAATTTTTCAGGTTGGGATCTCTGCGCAGTACCCTTCTGAACCAGGGCCTGCTCTGAGTGGGCATTAGTTAGTGCTCATTGACTCCCACTTACCAGAGGCTTCAGATGTGCACAGCGCAGGCCGAGGGGTGCTGTGGGCCCAGCACTGTTCCAGGACTCAGCAGCCTGGGTGTCTTGCACTAGTCCTTAGAATTTCTTCTGTGACCTTTTGAAGTCTCTGCTTCTTTGTCTGAGGGGATTGGACATCTTGTGGCTTAGCTGCTGTGCTACAAGGAGGGAGGAGAAAGCAAAGGACCCCAGAAGGGGTGACACTGATGCTAGGTCGTTACTTCCATGAGCCTGAGCATCTCATCTGCAAAAATGGAAATTGCTACTGGACTGAAAGGCAATTGTAAAAGATGGATGAGGAACAAATATAATGACTCAGGATAGAGCCTGCAAAGTAACAGTGTTGGAAGGGTGTAAGTTCCTGAGATGCCAGGGACCAGTTTCATGAGGAGAGCTGATTTTAACATTAAGCAGGGCGCCAGGGTTGCTAGCGACGGCTGTGGGAGGTCGGGGCTCGTTTTGAGTGAGGTGTGCATTTGGGAGCCCGGCAGGTGAGACGCTTGATGTAAGGCGTGGCAGGGTTGCAGGAGAGTGGGGAGAGCCCAGGAGGGCTCCGGCTGGCTGCCGCAGTAGGCAGGGAGGGAGCGGATACCCGGAGGCTGCACCTCGTCCAGCCTGGAGGCTGAATTCACACATCGGAACGTTCAGAAAGCTCACGTTTTCCCAGTCCTTTTCACACAGAATCACTTCCTTTGTCTAGAGGAGGCGGTGGAGGAGACGGAGGGCGAGGAGGGAGGGGCCCTGCGGGTGCCACCGCCACCTCCACCCCCACTCCCTTCCCCTCCCGGTGTGCGGAGCCCGGTTGTCACTGTTCTCCCGCGCCTAGGGCGACGGAGCTCGGGCACCAGAGTGGGAGTCGGGTCTCAGCTGTCTGCCACCCCCAAACCCCGACCTATGGGGGGCGGAGGGAGCTAATCATTCTTCAGGCGTCACCAGGGGGAGCGAGTGATGAAGGCTTCGAGGTGCGGGGGCACTGGCCCGGGGCGGCTCAGGTGGCCAGGAGCGGTGCCAGTTTAGGTGTGACCTTGGGTAAGTCTGTGCCTCGGTTCGCCCCGGGGGCTCCCGAGGGAGAACGCAGGAGAGGGCTGCAGAGAGCGCCTGGAATGCCCCACTGGGGCAGGCAAAGGTTCCCCGCAGAGCTGGCGCTGAACCAGGAGGCTGTGAGAACCCGGCACCAGCGCTGCCTCGGGTGGGTGGGCGCAGGGCCGGCGTGTGCGCACGCTGGGGAGTGCGAGCCCGCCCCGGGCCTGGGTCTGAGCTCAGTGCCCCAGACCCACGCCTTGCCACTCCAGTCCCAGGTGCAGAACTGGGGCGCTACCTCTTTAAAAGCGTCCGGGGCTGAGCCTCTGCCGCACCATGTGATTGCTTGAAAGGCCGGGCTGGGAGCGCTGCGGCGGGAGCCGGAGGACGATGAGCTGCCGCGCGGTGCCCAGAGCCCAGCCCTGCCCGGCGCGGCCCCGGAACTCTGGGCGGCACCGCGTGCTGGGAAGTTTAGGCACTGCCTCTGGGACCCCCTGCCGGCCAGCAGGCAGGATGGTGAGCTCACTGCATCCTGTTCTGTGGACACAGGGTGGACAGAGCAGGGCGCGCGGGACCCTTGTGGGGTGTGTGTGTGCTGGGAGCTGCCTCACACCTGATACAAAGCCACTGGTGGAGTGAGTGCTGCTATTTTAAGTTGCTGAATGGAACCTCTGGGGCTGCTCAAGGGAGGGGACAGAGGTTAGGCAGGGGAAGGGCTCAGGTGTCCTGGCCAATCTGGCAGGCACATCTCCCCAGGGTTGCCTGGACTCCTCTCCTCCTCCAGGCAGGCCTCCCCACCCCAGGCTTCCTGACCACAGGTGCCTACCTCGTGCCCCGTGGTGCTTGTCTGCTGATGTGCCCAGCCTGTGCCCGCCATGCCGCACTCCGTCTCCGCCTTCCAGGCTGCCTATATTGGCATCGAGGTGCTCATCGCCCTGGTCTCAGTACCTGGGAACGTGCTGGTGATTTGGGCTGTGAAGGTGAACCAGGCACTGCGGGATGCCACCTTCTGCTTCATCGCGTCACTGGCAGTGGCTGATGTGGCAGTGGGTGCCTTGGTCATTCCACTGGCCATCCTCATCAACATTGGGCCACAGACCTACTTCCACACCTGCCTTATGGTGGCCTGCCCTGTCTTGATCCTCACCCAGAGCTCCATCCTGGCCCTGCTGGCCATTGCTGTGGACCGCTACCTCCGTGTCAAGATCCCTCTCCGGTGAGTGCACAGAAGCAGGTGGCTTGAGGGCCATCTAGAGAGCTTAAAAGATTGAGCAGCAGGCCCCATGTGAGCCAGGTATTCTCTGGGCTCTTCTGTCCCTGCTCACTCTGCCCTCTTGTGTTCTGTGTTATGGTGCCAGGCTGAGCTGCAGCTCGAGGATCAGAGCGGGCTGGGGGAGACATGAACCTGGCAGTGCTTGGGATTTCAGCATCAGATGTGCTGGAGCCGTGAACCCCTGACTGCCTGCTGGGGCTGGGAGGAGGGGACAATTTGGAGCAGCCATTGGGGTAGTGTGGCAGTGACCACTGGGTGGGCATGAGTTGAGCTCCACCATTCCTTAGGGAAAGGAGAGGAGGGAGAGCAGAGCTAGGGTGGGGTTAAGAAGTACTGAAGGGGACACCCCAGAGCTGGGGGTGCTGCTGATTCAACCAGGCCAGCTTCCTGAAGACACTCTTAGCCTCCTGTTCTTCAGGTGCCTCTGTGCCTGCTGGCTCCACCCTCTAGGGCTGTCCTGCATGCTAGGCAGTTTGATTACCTCTGCTCAGCTCCCACTTAACAGGATCCCTGTTGCAGGCAGGAGAAGGGAAATGCTAGGCTGGCTCCTTGCTATCCCCATCCTGTTGCAAAAGTGTGTGACTCTGCTAGTCATAGCGAGGGCTTCTACTGCTTCCAGACAGCACTGGGGTGGGTGGCCTTGGAGATAGATATCTGTCTACATTGGGACTCCGTGCCAGGCCATAATCTCATCACCAAGCAGTGCCACCAAGTGCCAGCGAGTGCCTGGGCACACTGTCAGGAACTGGCCCTGCTGGGATACTCCTGTGAGAGTGCTTGCCTCCTCTGGCATTCTTGTCACCAGTAAATTCCTTTCTGATGGGGAGCCCTGGCTACCTCCGGCACCTGCCACCCTGGTGTAGCTTCCTAGATTCTGTATCTGGGTTGTGGGGCTCTGGTCTGCCTTGGCAGAACTCATGGTTCTCCTGTGGTCACATTTTCCAAGGCTCTTGTCATGCTGACTTTCCTGCTATCCCCATGATCCTGTAAAGGAGATGAAGTGGGAGCTGGCAAAGGGTAAGCAGTCTTGGCAGTGCTTCTGAATCCAGCAGTGAAGAAGTATAACTCGGCCATTCAGCCTCCTTCCCTGTTCCCTGTACCCAGCACCTCTGTGCCAGGCTCTCTGACCTGTTCGACTCCCTGGCAGCCACAAAGTTTACCAGGAAAGGCGGGGTATATTCTAGTGCTTGGGGGAGAAGGGAACATAGCCCAGAAGTCCTGTGAGCTCAGCTGCCAAGGGACCCTCATGCTGCTGATAGGCTCGGGTTGTTGTTGAGCTGCATGGACAAAGCCAGTCTCAACCCATTAGATGGGCTGGGCCTTGGAGCCTGAGAATTATAGCCGAGAATGGCCCCATTAGGAAAGGCAGGCAGATGTGCAAATGTAAGAAGCCTGCTAAAGAAACTCTGCTGAGTGAGTGCAAAGGCTAGACTAGGTCCTGTTATAATGTAATAGAGGTCACAGACTGCAGAATGTGCCCTACTTGCCTGGTGGGGGTGCAGGTGGGATCTGTGTCTCTAGGACCTGTAGGTGATTGTTTTGGAGCTGGGGATCTTGGGAAGCTGTCTGAGGGTGGAGGCAGAGGCATGGCTAAAGTCACTTGCAGGCCTGGGATCAACTCCTTGCTATGGATTTTTAGCTGTGTGACCTTAGCAAGGTTACCTATTTAACCACTTTAAACTTTAATTTCTTCATCTATCAAAGGGGACATTATTAATAATGCCTACTGCCTGGGGTTATTAGACGAATATAATGAGCTCGTATATATAACATACTTAGTATTGGGCTTGCTATATTATATGCAAGCCATAAGTGGTAGGTTTATGGTAGCTGTCTTACTGTCATTATTAATACATGACCTAAAATAGGACTGGATAGGCAAGCCCTGTCTTAGTCCTCCCTACACCTGCTCTTACATGGCTGCATATACACACACGTACACTCATGCAGACACACACATGCAGAAGTGACACATTTCCAGCAAACTTTGAAATACTGTTTTATCTTCTGCCCTGGTGAATTGTTGATGCCTCAAGGGTAATGACACGTCTTGTCTGCTTCTGTAGGTTGTCCGCAGTGTCCCTGGCAGACACTTGGTAAATGGTGGTTGAATTGGCTGAGCTTCCAAAGCATGAACAAGTGCACCTCAAGTAGCCTCGTCAAGTCTGTAATCTCTAGCCTTCTTACTGTCCCCCATCTGATCTCTGGACCCTGACCCCTGCTGTCCCCACTGGCTTTGTGTGGCCCCTTCAGCATCACTTGCTAGCAGAGACTGGAAGTGCCTTGCTCTTCCAGTGGAGAAGAACTTTCCTCCTGAGACACGAGAGCCTAGCTCCTTAAGCAGAGCTCCTGGAGAGGTGTGGTCCTGCCTAGGTCCTTGCCTGTCCTTGCCCTAATGCCCTATAGGAAAATCAGTGTACCTGTCTTACTGCCCTTTGCTCAGCTGGCATCAGCAGCTACCAAGATTGTGAGACCCTTGTCTCCCTGTCCTGATGTGCCAGTCATAGATGGATGTGGACATCCTTCATGTGGTATAAAGGTGACACCAAATAAATGTTGGTGTGGTATGTCTGGGCCCCTGGACACAGGAATCATCCAGGCCTGCACTGAATGAGCCATGAGTTGGTCAGTCCTTTCCTTCTACTTGACAAAAATTCAAGAGCAAAAAGAAATTCACTTTATGTAGTGTGGTTCAGTTACAAGTTAAAAAAATAAGTTCAGGGGCTGGGGATTTAGCTCAGCGGCATAAGTGCCTGCCTTGCAAGCAGGCAGTTGTGAGTTCGATCCCCAGTACCGATAAAAAAAAAAAAAAAGGAACGGAAAAAGACAAAAAATAAGTTCAGATCGTTGATTCTTAGGAATATTTGCATGTTGTTTGCATACTATTTGCATAGCACCGCCCACATTTGGTAATTGATACCCTATTCCCCTCACCCCTGGTTCTAGGAAATCTTCATCTTTCATCATCTTCTCTTCTCAACCAAAGCTTTCTTGCTGGGATCCTGTGGCAATCTGGTAGCTCCTCCAAGGGGTTCCTTGATCAAAGCCTTTTCTGCAGAAAGGAGAAGCAAGGGCTGCCAATGGCCAGATGAGCAGGTGTGAAATGAAGGTGTGTTGAGTCTTTGGAAGCCACTTGGACCCACACTGGAGCCTTGCTGTGTTACTAGGTAGCTGTGCAACCTGGGACGAGTCAGTCAACCTCTTTGAGCCCTTTCCCTTCTGCCATGTGTTAACTGAAGGGATCGGACTGAAGGTCACCGAGCTTCCTTTGGGCTCTCACAGTCCATGGCTCTGCCTTATCCTGATTCTTGCCAGAACCGTCTTGGCATCTTGGGAAGGTTTGTGTTGTGTTTTTTTGGCTCCTAGTGATTATGTGCTAAACACAATGCTGTTTTTTACATACTTTATCTCAGGTATGTTCATAGCCACTCAGTGACAGAGGTTACTGGGATCCCCATTCTGTAGATGATTATTTTAGGTAAAATGAGGTCTTAGGCTGAAGGTTCAGTAATTTGCCCAGACAACAGCAAGTCAGGAACAGAAGCAGGTTTGAATCCAGGCTTGTCTACCACATACCTCTCATCTGGAAGCCAAACATGTCTTGCATCAGCCCAAGCAGCTGTAAGATTTATGCTAGAGTTTCCCCAAAGCTGTCAGTGGGGTGATTTTTCTCCTCTGACTTTGCCAGTGGCCTCTGTACATGGCTCAGACACACACAGCACCTCCTCCATCCCACCTTTACTCCAGTGGGCAGCTGGTGGCCCTGCTTTTGTCCACAGCTGGAAGCCTGCCCTACTGGGTTGCCATGCCAGAAGATTCCTGCAGGGAGTCGTGGAGGCCTGCATGCTGGGCCCTGCTTGGGCAAGGATGGAAATTTGGTAGATTGGAACATATTTACTTTTAGGTACCAAGTTAGTCCTCTTGATCCTGGCAGCCTGGGCTTTTCTCAGTGACTAGAGTGTCTTACGTCTGCAGGTGTCTGAGGTCTCTGGCTTCCAGAACAGCTGCTTTCTGCAACGGTGTCTTTCTGCATCCAGGAGAGGGAGACTGTCTCCATCCCCTGTCCAAGGATGCATCAGTCATAGGCTCAGAGCAACAGCAGCTCTGAATCCCAGCCCCTCACACTTTCGGGCTGAGGTCAGGGAGACAGGAGCTTGCTCAAGGTCACTTGGTTGGGAGCTTTTTCCTCCTCCCAATCCAGACTTATTCTTGAGCCACTGATGTGAAAGGCTCAGATAGGAATGGAAACCAGAATAGTGAGAAGGAACAGAAAAGAAAACTGTGGCTTCAACCTGTCAGTCAGCAGTGGCAGACACAGAGAGCTGCTTTGTGATGGAAAAAGCGGTGGCTTTGTTTTCAATGGGACGACTTCCAGGTGGCTTATGCCAAGGAGTTCCCGGCTGTCACTGCAGAGGCCTTGGGTTGACTTTAGGGGTGAAGGCTGACCCTCTAGAGTTGGGATGGGTGCCAGAAAGGCTCTGAGTGCCTGAGGAGCAACCTGTCCATGCTCTGGTTGCTTGGAAGTTGGGGAATGGCCAAAATGTCTGCTGGAGGAGCTCTTCTACCCGGGGGGCCTGGGGTGGAGCCAGCCTTCGGGCTGCACCTCGACATTTCAGTTTTATTTTGGAGCATAAAATCAGTTCGCTTTGTGAGAAATGTAGGAAAGAAAAAAAGATGTAAAATCATCCATACTTGTACCACCTACAGAGAACTACTGTTAACATTTTGGTGTTCCAGAAAATTTTCCAGACACACACACACACACACACACACACACACACACACACACACTTACACATATGGTGATGTTATTTTTACATATTGAGAGCATCTATCTATGTATAGTTTTATATCCCATTTTATTCGCTTAGCTTTCTAATATAAACATTTCTTCATGTCAATTAAAATTATTATTATGGTTACTTTTTTTGAGACAGTGTGTC